CTGGGATTAAATTAGTTCAGATAAACACAGAAGAATCCATCATGTCTTCCTCCTGGGATTAAATTAGTTCAGAATAACATAGAAGAGTCCATCATATCCTGGGATTAAATTAGTTCAGATTAACACAGAAGAGTCCACCATGTTTAAATTGATTCAGAGAAACACAGAAGAATCCATCATGTCTCCCTCCTGGGATTAAATTAGTTTAGATTAACACAGAAGAGTCCATCCCTCCTGGGATTACATTTGTTCAGATTGACAGAAGAGTCCATCGTTTCTCCCTCCTGGGATTAAATTGGTTCAGATTAACACAGAAGTGTCCAACATGTCTCCCTCCTGGGATTAATTCAGATTAACACAGAAGTGTCTAACATGTCGCCCTCCTAGGATTAAATTAGTTCAGATTAATATAAAAGAGTCCTTTATGTCCTGGGATTAAATTAGTTCAGATTAACAAAATTGCCCCACATTCTCTCCTGGGATTAAATTAGTTCAGATTAACACAGAAGCGTCCAACATGTCTCCCTCCTGGGATTAAATTAGTTCAGATTAACACAGAAGCGTCCAACATGTCTCCCTCCTGGGATTAAATTAGTTCAGATTAACACAGAAGCGTCCAACATGTCTCTCTCCTGGGATTAAATTAGTTCAGATTAACACAGAAGAGTCCAACATGTCTCCCTCCTGGAGGAACTGAAGCCCATATTGTCCAAAAATAACCTGGAGACAGTAATACATGCATTCATTACATCTAGGCTTGATTACTGCAATTCACTCCTGTTTAGTATCAGTCAGAACTCCATTGCACGACTACAACTGGTCCAGAATGCAGCAGCCCGATTTTTAACCAGTACAGGCAAAAGAGAGCACATTACACCAGTTTTGGCCTCACTGCACTGGTTACTGGTTCACCTTCAAATCCAGTTCAAAATACTGATGTATGTCTACAAATCACAGAACAGTTTCACCCCCCCCCCCCCCCCCCCCCCCCCCCCCTCTGATCTGCTCCACCCGTATGTCCCACCACGCTCCCTGAGGTCAGCGGACCAGTTGCTCCTCACAGTTCCAGGAACTCGTCTTAAGCGCAGAGGTGACAGGGCCTTCTCTGTAGCAGGACCAAGACTTTGGAACGAGTTACCTCTGCTTGTCAGACAGGCCCCCTCCCTCTTGGTTTTCAAGTCCCGTTTAAAAACTCACTACTATTCAGTAGCATTCAACACCAGAGGATCTGTGTTTTGAACCAGTACGCTCCACACTGGTTTGTCGTCATATTTATTATCCGCATCGTTTTTATGTCTATATTTTTGATTGACTTCATTTTGTATTTTGCTTCGTGTGTTACCTGTTGTTCTGTCTGTACAGCACTTTGGTTGGCCTTGTTGCTGTTTTAAGTGCTCTATAAATAAAATGGTATGGTATCCTCTCTCCCTCCTGGGATTAAATTAGTTCAGATTAACACAGAGTGTAAGAATTTAAGGGTTTTATTTTTAAGAATTTTAAAGATTATTCCTGACATCTAAGTAAAGTTAAAATAATAAATTCATAAAACGGCTGCACCAGCTGTTTACAAAACTCAGAATATCTTTTGTCATTAAATCAGATTACATTTTCTGGATCGCTTCAGTTAGCTATATTGTCTTTTTTGCTGATGTTTAGCTACTATTCTGCTGCTTTTAGCCATCCTTTTGCTACTTGAATCTACTTTAGCTTGAAGTTTGTTTTTGCTACATTTAGTTTTTAGCTAGCTCTTGCTACTTTAAGCTATGTTTTTACTGCTTTTAGCTTTACTGCTTTGTTCTTTTAGTCCCGTTTTCTTTCTTTTAGCTAACCCTTTGTTGCTTTAGCTTTCAGTTACCTTTTGCTGTCGTCGTTGTTTTGCTACATTTAGTTTTGGCTAATCTCTTGCCGTTTTAAACTGTGCTTTTGCTGCATGTTTCTTTTACTTTTTGCTGTTTTAAGATTGCCTTTTTTCTTCTTTTGGTGCTTTTTAGCTAGCCTCTTGCTATTTTAAGCTTTTATCTAGCGTTGTGCTACTTTGGGCTTTTAATTAGCCTTTTGCTACTTTTAGCTCTGAGCTTGTTTTCTGTTGCATTTAATGTTTAGGTATAGCATTTTTGCTCAATTTTTGCTAATTTGTATTCTGTTTTTTGGATTTAACAGCTCCATTTCAGTAACTTTCAGCATCTGTTCAGCTCTCGAGTTTGTTTTATGTGATTATTTTAATTTTCTGAGAAAAACCTAAATTTAGTTTCCCATTTTAGCTGCAAGATGAAACCACCTAAGTGAATGGACTAATTCCACAGTTTGAAATAATTACTGAACTAAATGGAATGTTTGATAATCTCAATGTGTTATTCCTGCAGGCTCTTCAGTGTTTTTAACAATAATGCTTTTTTTGTTTGTCCACAGTCTCTGACGGCGTCACAGTCAACGTCCCTGAGACTGAACGCAGCACGGCTCTGTTCGCTAACATCATCCTCCGCTGTGATTACTCCACGTCTGCAAGCCTCCAGGATGTTCTGGTCACCTGGAAGTTCAAGTCCTTCTGCAAAGACCCTGTGTTGGATTACTACTCCACAGGTAAGGGACCATCTTTACCAGTAAGATGGTCTATATTATCTCACAGGTTTCATATTAGGGACAAGTTTCTGGTTAACTTCTTTAGTAACCTTCTCCTACTTCTGGTTTCACAGCGTACCAGTCTGCCCTGCAGCTGGGTCAGGACCCGGCCAACGACTGTCCAGACCGTCAGCGGACAATACGTACCGTGGTCCAGAAGAGGGGCAGCAATGAGCCGACGCTCGGCGCGGAATACAGGAACCGAAGGATCACAGTCCAAAACCGTGAGTCCAAGTGGGGTTCCAGAGCGGAGGGTCTAAACGTTTTCATTGTTATTGCCTTGGATTCATATTTGTGCTGAAATGTTTGAGTGAGTGATTGATTGGTCATTAAATTTATATTTTGTTTGTGGAGTTTTTAAAAAATCTTAGTTAAAATGCACTTTTGGGCAAATATCTTCCAGTTTTTGTTGGATTGGTCTGAAAAATGAAACATTTAATGAATTATTCTGCTGACTGGATGTTATAACCGGGGTGTGCGGCTGTGTGTTTGTGCAGATGCAGACCTGGTGATCAACGAGGTGATGTGGTGGGACAACGGGGTCTACGTGTGCAGCGTCGATGCTGCTGGAGACACCACCGGAAACCCAGACAAAGAAATCAAGCTCATCGTCTACCGTAAGAAACTACTTTTCTTTCTCAGTTACTGAAATAAAAGCCTCGCCCCGAACACCGTTCTCTTGTTTCTTTTGCTCAGATTGGTTAACGGTGTTGTTCATCGTCATCGGCGGCCTCCTCCTCCTCTTGCTCTTCTGTATCTGCTGCTGCCAGTGCTGCCCGCAGAAGTGCTGCTGCTACGTGCGCTGCCCCTGCTGCCCAGAGCGGTGCTGCTGCCCGGAGAAAGGTAGAACTCAAAGCTGTCCCTGCAGACCACAACCACATGAGCTTCAAACAGCCTGAGTTCACTGCAGATAAACAGGCGACAGAATAAACCACATTTCCTGCAAAATGCAGTGTTTATTGCTGAAACCAGTGGTTTTGTCGCTAACCTGTTAATGTGAGTTGAATTTAAACAGCTGACATTTGTTGAAAGCAGGAAAATAAAAGCCGAAAACAGCAAATATGTCAGAGCAGTGGTGGGCACAGCTAACCAAAAAGTTAGCTTTGCTAACTGTTAATTTTCTAACTTAAAAATATTAGCTTTGTTATCGCTAAACAGTTTTTGTTTTTTTTAAATAGTGGCAGCTAAAGTGCTGATTTTTATCATCCACTGTTGTCGCTGACATTGTAAGACTGTTTGTACAATGTTGTAAGTGAACACAACTTTATAAACGATTCATCAATCACAGGCAACGTGTCCATGTCCCGTTCAGAGGTGAGCATTCAGAAATTAATCCGGTCCATCGGAACCAAAGAGGCAGAGCAGAACTCTGCTGTGCTGAAGCAGAGTGATGCGTTCAATGTGTGTCGGACGTCTCCCCCGTGTCATTTACTATAACAAATTCATTCACTTTAGTTATCCTCTTTGTTGTTAACTACTTTAATAAACTAACAACAAAGTTGCTGTGTGTTATCAATATTCTAAATATGTAATAAAGTAAAGATGTGAGGAAATGTGTGAGAGAGTCGCGTCCCAGAGACAGTATGAGCGTTGCAAATCATGCCGGGTAGGAATTATGTGCGCAATGTTTCTGTTTATGATGTTTGAGTGAAAATGGGTTTTTCTTTTAATTCTCCTGTTGTGGTTTGGTTTGGCATTTGTTGAAGTCTCTGTTATTGGCTGTAAACTGACACCACGAGTCAGAGACTGTTTGTGGTAAATATGAGAGGGAAAGAAGCACTGGGAGGGTGGTGATGTCACTGGGAGGTGATTAGCTTTGCTTAGCTCTGTACTGCATCGCTCTGTGTAAATCACCATTGTCCTGAATGCTTTGAGTATAGAGAACTGTCCTTGAAAATGAGCAAACTTGAGTCGATTTAAGCAGAAGCTATTTCTGTGAAAGGTATTCATAGTTGGTAAAAAATTCTCTAAACGGAAAGTTAGCTTCACTATTAGCAGAACCGTGCCCACCACTGTCAGAATAAGCTGAAATAGGCAGAGTTAGAATATATTTAGAAAAAAAACTGAAATTAGTAGAAAAAGCTAAAAAAAAAAAATTTAAAAAAAGTTGCCTAAAAAGCTTTAAAAAAAAGGATGAAATTAGCAGAAAGAGGCTGAAAAGAGCATAAAAGGTTGAAATGATAAGAAGCACAAAATATGGAAATAAAAAAGTAGAAATTTAGTCTAAAATTAGCAGAAGAATACATAAAAAGCAGAAGAAAAGCTGATAAAGATCAAAGGTTTCAAGGATTTGTAGAGAGCGCCGTTCATTTTCAGTGAGAAAAACATGGCCGACAAAGCTAAATGTTTCAAAAACTAAAAATTGTACAAATACCAGGAATTAGAGCAGAGATGTCTGACGTTTTGATTAATGAATTGTTGAAATGGAACAAACTGAGGAATGAGTTCGGTTCTGAACGAGTTCGGTTCTGAACGAGTTCGGGTCTGAACGAGTTCGGGTCTGAACGAGTTCGGTTCTGAACTTTGTGAATGATCCAGAAACATTCTGACAACGTCGATCGTGGACAAGCAGGTTTTAGTTCAGTGCAGCCTGTGTTGGATGTTAAAGGGTCATTCTGTTCTTTTCCAGCGGTCATGCAGCATCGAATGATGAAGCAGGCTCAGAGGGCCATGTCTCCCTGGATGGGGGGGCAGCCCCTGTATGCGCCCATGAGCCAGACCTCCCAGATGAACCCGCTCCTCTACGCAGGATCCGTCTCGGGGAAGAGCATCCCCTTAAACCCGATGCCTCTTCCTCCTCCTCACTCCATGGCCTACAGCATGCCTCCTCCCAGCACCCATGCCTCGGCCAACACCAACCAGATGCTGGATTACCTGGAGAGCCAGGTCCGAGGGATGGACGTGAACAGTCCTCTGATTCAGGTACGCTCCCAGATCCAAACGCCCAGCTGTGCTTCACCTTTAATGCTCATCAGGAGCTCATCTTTTTTTTTTTTTTTCTCGTCTTCGTTTGAAAAATACCAAAAAAAAAAGTGCATCAGGTTTTGTGTTTTGTCGATGCATCTTCACCTTTTGCTGATTCCTTTTCTCAGAATTTGAATTTCCAGCACGTTTGTCTGTAAAGTGTTTCAACTTTGTCTTTTTCTGACCTTTACTGTTTTTACATCAATCATCAATCTCTTTAGGCTTTTGACAGTTTGGTTCGACACTAAAGTTTAGTTCCAGCTAAACTGCAGCTACAAAGGAAATTAATTAAATCATAGCTAAAAGCTAAAGTTAGTAGCTAAAGCTAATGAGCAAGAAATTATTTAAACAGTCTATTAAATAAATCTCTGTCCATGAACAACAACCTGCGTGGTTGTATCAGTTATGAAGACACTAAATTCTATGAATCGAGCTTTTAGACATGTTCAGTTCAGTTTATTTATATAGCACCAAGTCACAACAGACATGAATAGCAGCCGCAGATCAATTCTCTCAAAACCAGTAGTTAAATAAATAAATATATCCAGATTATTAATTTACAAAGCTTTACACACAGATATGTCTGAACTTGGAGTGTGGTGAAGATTTTTGTCTTCTGTCATTGTCTTCTTTCAGATTTTTCCTCTTCAGGGGTCTCCACAATGAGACTTCATCCTCCATCTCTGTCCTCACTCCATCTACCTCCATGTCCTCTCTAACTGCATCCATGTATCTCCTCTTGGTCTTTTTCCTGGCAGCTGCATTTCTACCAATATACCACTGTCCCTCTTCTGGACATGTCCAAACCACTGTCCCTCCTCTGGACATGTCCAAACCACTGTCCCTCCTCTGGACATGTCCAAACCACTGTCCCTCCTCTGGACATGTCCAAACCACTGTCCCTCTTCTGGACATGTCCAAACCACTGTCCCTCCTCTGGATATGTCCAAACCACTGTCCCTCCTCTGGACATGTCCATCCTCTGGACATGTCCAAACCACTGTCCATCCTCTGGACATGTCCAAACCACTGTCCATCCTCTGGACATGTCCAAACCACTGTCCCTCCTCTGGACATGTCCAAACCATCTGTCTGGTCTCTCTAACTTCATCTCCCAGTTGTTCAACCTGTGCTGTACCTCTGATGATCTCATTCCTAATCTTCTCCATCCTTGTCACTCCTAAAGTGACGAATAAAATCACTACTTGTGTTTTTAGGATTTATTTTGTCGAGTTTTGCAACAATTTTTTGTTTTGCATTTCTTTAAGTGTTTCTTGTGTTCCACCAGTTTATTTGTCATATTTTTTGGTCTGATGTTATTTACTTGTTTGTTTTTGTTTTCCTATCAGTCCCAGCCTACTTCCATGCAGTACATGCCCCCACCGCCGCAGCAGCACATGCCCATCAACATCCCCTACTCCCCCGGCCCCCCCAGCATGATCTCCGGCCTGGACGACGGTCCGAAGGAGCGCCACGTCATCACGCTTCCACCGATTAGGGAACCAGGACGAGTCCCGCCCTCGGCGCCTAAGACCCGCCCCCCGAGCTCCAGCGAGAGCAGCCGAAGCGGCTTTGGGCGGCGGGACGAGCGAGGGGCGGCGGGGAGGCGTTACCCCTCCCCAGCCCGATCCAGAGGTATTCCCCGGAGCTACAGCGAGGAGTCTCTGGGCGGGAGGAGCCGGGGCAGGTCCCAGATCAGCATGGACCGCAACCGGTCCCACTCCAGGGACGACATATTTGACAGCAGGTCCAGAGGGAACTACTCCAGGGGGTCCTGGAGCTCCGACGAAGATGACAGCGTGAGCAGGAGAGGAGGAAAAGGAGGAAGGAGAGGAGGAGGAGGAGGGTGGTCCGAAAAACCTCCCAGCTACACAGAGTACGAACCGGGCCAGAAACCAGGAAAACGCCTCACTGTAAGACGCACACACACACAAACATACACACCTTTACACACACACACCTACATACACGTTCTTGTAAACATACTTTTTGGGGACTTTGCGTTGACTTCCATTCATTTTCTATAGCCTAACCATAACCCTGACCCTAAACCTAACCTCTAACCCCCCAACGAGACTTCTCCTAATGGGGACCTGGCTTTGGTCCCCATAAAGAGCAGTTGTTTCCCACAATACATGATTTTTTTGTAAAATTGGTCCATACAAGGTAACCTGAAACAAATGCGCACACACCTACACACCCCCCTACATCCCCATGGTGGATATATGGCAAGCCATGTTATCATATAATTGGATTGCGGCTGATCCTGCCCCAATTAAAAGCCGGACATCGACCTGGCCCGCCTCGAATTCAGGTCGTGTGGGGCCGGGCTTAGGGCTCGGGTTAGAAATGACAGCTCTACTACACACACACACTTACACACACACACACACACACTTACACACACTTTGATCAAAGTACAAACAAGCAGAAGAAGCTAAAAGTAGAAAAACTTTAGCTAAAAGTTAAAAGTAGCTGAATGGCATCTGAAATCCAACAAGAGCAAACAAGCTTAAAAAAGCCAACCTGTCAGTAAGAATAGGAAAAACTAGCTAAAGGCTAAAATACGAAAAGGCTAAAAGTTAAAAGTAGCCTAAGAAGACAAACGGCTGAAGCAGATTCCTAAACAAGTTTTTTGAAAGAATTAAAGGATTTCCATGTGTTCTTACAAAAGATTATATTTAAGAAAAATAAATATTTTCAAAGTCTTAGTGCTCATCTCCTGAATAAGCCAAACATTTTGATTTATGAACAGCTGAAACCAAAACTTAATTTTGAGGACATGTTCAGGTGACAAAGTGTACAGAAAACTAAAAAGCAGCTTGATGAATGCTGACTCTCGGCTACTATCACACCATATTTCAGCTGATTAGCTGTGAAATGGTGCAGGTAAAACCATTATCGCCTGCCTTTCACCGTTGGGCAGCAGGTGAAAATGAAAACATCCTGACAGTTGAAGTGAAGTTAACATTAGGTTTGTTTCATTCAGGACAAGAGTTCTCGCAGCGGCACCAGCGTCGTCATCTGAGCCCTCCGGCCGCGACCTTTGACCTCTGCTCTGCAAGCCTCACGGGAAACTAAAAGGTCACGGTTAAAGGCAGCGACTTCCTGTTACCTCTTGGATGAATAAAAAGACTTGGAAGGATTCATTTGTGCTGCACTCAAAGACTCAACAGTAACATGAGTTGATTTGTTTGTTTTAGTAAAATAACCGTCCAGCAAATCGTGTATTTAAAACAAATGGGGCGTGGAAAACGAAGCTCGCTAGATCAGTGGTTCTCAAAGTTGAGCTTCGGGACCCAACGGTGGGTCGTGAAACACACAGAGGGGTCCTAATAGTTAGAATAAGTCAAAATAAAATTGAAATGATCACTACTGGTAAGATTTTATCATAATTCTGACAAAATACAAAAACAAAGCAGTCTTGCATTCCTATTTGTGCCATCATTGTACCTTCTTTTTTTTAATTGTTTGTCAGGAATGTTCGTCTGCTCCAAAACATCATCATCAAATACTTGTGACCCTGATCGTCAGTTAAATTACACAAATGTTGCAAAAAAAAAAGTAGCTAAAACTGCAACAAATATCAATTCCACTCATGTTAAACTATTTATGCCCACATTTGTGAATATTTTTGTGACCCTTTTGGAAGAGTTGTAGTGAAAAGATGCTTGTAGATTTTTTTATTTATTTTTTACTTGTATTTAATTTCTGGTGATCGTCTCAAGAACACTGAACTGGTGTGTTCAGTGTTGTGACCCACAGAAGTCCCGACCCCCGCTTTGAGAACCACTGTTCTGCCCACCGTAGATGGGCTCACGGGTTTATTTATGGGTCAGGAGCAGCTGGAGATGCTTACCTCTTAACGTCTGTAAATAAATGAGCAAAACCTTAAAAATAAAATTTCTCTCAGGGCCAAAAAACATTTAAAAAATGAAAAGTGAAGTTTTGTTTTTTTAAATAAATTCTTACTGTAAAGTTATCTTCTGGACATCTTGAATATCTGTTGCATTTTTAATGTTTTGAAGTTAACTTTTATCCATTTTTTGGATGCAATGAATTTTGCACTTAGTTCTCCTCAACAGAACGAAAAGTGTAAAAAAAAAAAAAAAAAAAAAAAGTACTGTATGTACTTTTTTGAATGACAGAGGTGAAGGAAATAAATAAATGTAGAGAAAGTTACTGATATTCCACCGTTGAATGAAAATGTGATACAACTCGACTTTTCCTCTTTTTAATTTCTGTTTTGTTTTCAGCCTGTACAGTCTGTTTGCATTTATGATTAATAAACTTTTGTAACTTTTAGGAATAATTGTTTTCATTCTTTAATTCAAAATAATTTAAGTTGTCCGCAAAGTTTCTATCGTCTCATCAATTGATTTACAAACAGGCTCAAATACATCCATACATTCATCTAAATCTTTAAGGACTTTTAAATTGAAACGTCTTATTAACTTCCTGTTGGCAATTACGATTGACCGCAGCTGGTAGTTTCTCTCTTTTATTGAACCGGCCAACTCTCTTCCATCAGATAAAAGGAAATTAGTTCAGATGTTCAGGAACCACCAAGGCCCAATCCTGCCATGAATTGGAACCTGCTGGAATGTCAGTGCCCCTGTCCAACAGTGTCCCTGTCCACAGTGAAGCCAGTTCTACGTCACCATAGACTAAAAAGACGAAGAAGCTCCAAAACCTCCAGTTTAGACTGAAACCTGGAGCTGTCTATGTGGACAAGACAAAAGTCTTCTGGAGAAAAGTTTGAGACGAGACGATTTGGAGGAGTCGAGGTGAGACTTTCAGACCAGAGGACACTGAACCAACTGTCAGGCATGGTGGTGGTAGCATCATGCTGCAGTACAAAGATGATGGAATGGAGAAAGGGGATGAACATCTAAATCTCTTAACCTCATATCAATTGGACGGTTGAAGCTTGGACACGGTTAGGTTCAGCAGGGCAATGGACATCAGAACTAATTTCTGATAGGATAAACCAGGCTGATGTTAAGCTTCTGGACTGTTCTTCCCAAAGACTTCGACCTGGTTAAAAATGTGTGGGCTCTGATTAAAACTCTGGTTAGAAACCAAGTTTAAATGAATTCTACCAAGAAGAAGAGTTGGGTATCAGCCAGAAGCTTGTTGGGAGAGTATTACATGTTGGTGTTTTTCTACTTTTAGCTTGTAGCTGATGTTTTGCTCCTTTAGCTAGACTTGTTTGTAGACTTTAACTGAAATCTGCTGTCACTTCCAAACCTTGGCCCTCAAGAAACACGTTGCTTCCCTGCTCCAACTCACCAGAATCAGTGATTTAATTACTTCCTCGCGTTCTGCATAAGCCTGTTAATCACCCATTCATTCCAATCAGGTGTGTCAAAGCAGGGAAACAACTAAAACATGCAGGATGGCGTTCCTCAAGGAACAGGGTTGGGAAGCTCTGCTTTAAACAAAAAGTTGTCTTTACATAAACAGCTAAAACAACAAACTTCTTGGTTGTTTTATTAAACTAAATGTATGTTTCAACATCTTTTTGTGTCTCTGAACCCGGTGGTCCAGCTCAACAAGTTATTTTTTTTATTAAAACTAATACATTTCCACGCTCAGAGGCGTCAAACTGCGACTGTGCGTCGCGTCGCGCTCTGATGACGTCACGCAGAGAGGAGGTGCAGCTTTGCCACGTCGGTTCTGAGTGCGGCGCGTTTACACTGTTGCTCCTCCAGACCCGGACTAACTTTTAAAGCCGCTTTGTGTCCCCGCGCTCACTGGGAGCGGGTCTGCGGGGTTACCGGTACCGGTGTGACCCGTTCCCGCGTCGGTACCGAGTCGGAGGCTGAAGCTGAAGGGAAGGAGAGACGCTCGGTGCTGTTCGGACCAACTGACTGATGCATCCTCGTTCGGTTCAGCTCTGCCCCCCCGCATGTTGTCGGTGTCGTGTGAGTACACTTGCTTTTTAAACTCTACATTTGGTTTGTTGAACGGTTCCGGGCGGCGGTGGTTCTGGTTCTGAGCGGCCTTTTGTGAAGTTTCTCCCTGATGTCATGGTTCCCTCACAAGCAGCAGCTCGTCTTGGAGTCCATAAAACCCAGCTGCGCACAGAACAAATGCTCCACAAAGACCAGAAGGTCCGGTCCGGTTCGGTTCTGCTCTATATAACGGATTCTTAAGATGCGATCTGCTCTGCAGCCCATAGTTCCTGTTTTCTTTGCCTTGCAGCTGTATGTAGGTTTGTGGCGCGTGCGTGTGAACGTCTGTTTCCTGTTTGCAGCTGAAACTTCAGCTCCTCGTCCACGTTTCATCAAACTCTGAGAGATTAAACAAACTAGTTCCGTTTGGGTTTTAACAGGTTCATCGATGTTAATCACAGGTCGATACCGATAATTAATCAACAAGTCGATACCGATAATCGTCTAAACTATATTTATCGTTGGATTGATATTAATGGAGGTGTGCGTGACAGGTGAGTTCGTGCAGGTCGCTCACTGGCTGTACACGATATGAATTTATCGGGAACTTTTGTATTTTTTGAGTAACTTTCATGACAACCTGCCGACCCGAACACCGGTTTTCAAACTCTAGAATCGGGATGATCTGATTCAGTCATTGGGAGAAATAAATATACACAACTTTCATATTTCTCAACTAGTTTAAACAAAGTCTGTTAGTTGTGTCATATTTAGCTGTATCCAATAGAATAAGAACATCTGACAAATCGGTATGCAGAATATTAGCAGTCTACTGATTTTAATTTAAATTTTAAATTAATCAGTAGACTGATAATAATCTGCATATCAATATAGACCGATTTTTATCAGACTGATATTAATTGGTTAACTCGGCAGACTAATATAAACCAATTTTAATGGGCAGGCAGACCAAAATAATTAGATAATTAATACAGTAAAAATAGTCTGATTTAGACTAATAAAAAATTGTCATATTTATATAGGACATTATTAATTGACAGGCCAAGACAGACAAATAAAACATCTGCAGCTATAAATGGATACAAGTCAACTGATTAATAATAATTATCAGACCGACTTATTTAATAATCACCAGACCTGTTTTAACTTTAAGATGAAGTTTAATTATCTGATTTTGATCACATGAATAAATCAGTCCATTCCTGTACATAACTCATAAAATACTTTATCTTTTAGCTTTTCCCTTTTGGGGGGGGGTTGCCTCAATGAGTCTTCCTCCTCCAGCTCACTGCTGCCAGTGTTGGTTTGTTTAAGCAATAATTAGTTTATTTATTAGTTTTAAATATGTTAAGTTCTTCTAAGGATTGTTAAACATTTTTATTCAAGTTGGTCAATTATTGGTAAACATTGGTAAATGTAAAAGACCATTTGATTAAAAAAAAAAAAAAAAGTCAATAGGAGAAGGGAGTAAAAGTAGCCATCTTTGTGAAGAGAACTCGTCCATCGTTAAACAGAGGCAGGGGTTCAACTATCATGCTGTTATTGCAAGTATCTCTCAGGCCCCTGTGAATAACAAGTGGACATGAGGGCTCTAATGACCAATTGTTAGGGCTAGGCCTGTCGCAATAAACAAATCAATTAATCACATGATGAATGAAAATTATCGACCTCATTTTCATTTATCAGCTTTATTGTTTCTTCGTGTCTCTCTCTTTCTACTGAAGACACTGGATGACAGAAGGCTCAGCTCCGGTGATCTTCACTGACCCCTCCCTTTCTCTCTTCTCTTTAAAATCCATTTTAACGATCCAAAATCACGTTTTTGGATCATTAAAAGCTAAGCTAACAGGCCAACCTTGGAGGGGAAAAAAATTCAGTCTTGTCAAAGCTCAAAAATTCACAGTTGAAACTTGTGCCCTCGTGTAAAAAGTTGTTTTTCTCTGCAAAAATAAGCTGAGGACTTGTTTATTTATTTATTTTATTTTATTTTTTATTAAAAGGTTTGTGTGAAAAATGCTATGCTAAAGAGCTCAAACCACACCGAGTGTCCGCCATTTTGAGAACTGAAGAGAGACAGCCCATGCCATGTCAAGGGGCCTCCCTCCCATTTTTCTTAGAGACAAGCTGCTCGCTCCCTCACTATCCATCCTTCAGTTCAGACAGTCTTATACTGCCATCTGGTGGTCAAAAAAGGTACTACATGCAAAACAAATTAAACGTTTCTTCTTAAATTTGACAATAATTACTACTTTTTTCAAATTTCAAACAATATCATTTATCACAATAATTTCTGAGACAATAGAGCAGCAAAATTTGTTATTGTGACAGGCCTTCTCAACCTTGTTAAATTTTTCTACCTGGATTATGGAGCAGGTCACTCAAATATTAGTGTTGTATATCAGCTGTCTTTAATAGATCCTCAACTTAAATTTGATAAACATGTAAACACGATTTCAAAAACAATACAAAATATTATTTCAAACTAATTAGAAATTATATACCAAGTCAGGCAGTCCTACTATGCATTCTGTTCCTCCTTCCTGTCCTCTCAACCAGCCGGTCAAAGCAGATGGCCGCTTGTCCTGAGCCTGGTTCTGCTGGAGGTTTCTTCCTTGCGCTCCAGAGGGTGATGGGAGTCAAACTGCTAATAGTTCAATTCAATTCAGTTTATTTATATAGCGCCAAATCACAACAAAGTTGTCTCAGGGCACTTTACAGGAGACATTCACATACATAAAAGCCAATTAGTAAAGTTCTCCATCTAAGGAATCCAGCAGACAAGTTGAATCTTGGCTTCGTTGCAGTCTCCCATCCTGAGCAAGCACAGTGGCAACAGTGGAAAGGAAAAACTCCCTTTTAAGAGACTGATCACAGCCCTCCTGACACTGAACAGCATACACAACATTACTCTGTTTGTGCCGGGGGACTGGATCTTTGGGATGAACCAGTCTTTGCCGTAATGTATTTTGGGGTTTAAAAGCCACTGGGACGTTATGTTTAGGAAATAAAACGTCTCAGTTTCTCTGAAACTCCTGCAACATATGGAATGACCACTGGTCTGGGTTCCTCCTGATGGCTGGCTGGAGTCCTGTTAGGGTTTCTTCTCGGCTTTCAGGAAGGCCCAGTTAGGATATCCACATTGTTCTAGAGCCTGTCTTGTGTGGGACTTCTCCTTCTGCCTGGCTCCTGAGTTAGTGGGGACGCTGTCTGCTCTGTGGTACAAAGCCCTGATGGCTCTTAACTTACATCGGGGAAACTAAAACAGCTACTGGCCAAAAGGATGGCCCAGCACAGAAGATCAACATCATCAGGCCAGGATTCTGTGGTCTTCACTCATCTCCAGGCCAGCGGTCACTCTTTCAGGGATGAAGATGTTCACATCCTGGATAGAGAGGAACGATGGTTTGAGAGAGGAGTAAAGGAGGCCATCTTTGTGAAGAGAACCTGTCCATGACGATGGCTGTGGTTAGCACTGTTGCCTCACAGCAAGAAGGTCCAGGGTTCAATCCCCGGTTGGACCTGGGGTCTTTCTGTGTGGAGTTTGCATGTTCTTCTCGTGCTTGTGTGGGTTTTCTCCGGGTACTCTGGTTTTCTCCCACAGAACAAAAACATGCATGTTAGGCTGCCTTCGGGCCCAGGCCTTCCTTGCAAAAGAGATCTGTGATCTCAATGGGGTTTGCCTGGTTAAATAATAGTTAATAAATAATAAACCATTAAATGGGGGCAGAGGGCTCCATGTTCAACTGTTCCCCTCTTACAATGCTGTTATTGATAGTATCCAGTGCTTAATTTGAGTCGGATCCTGTCGGAACAAGATCCGGGAACTCTCTGATTTTGACTGGCAACTCAAATCTCCGCCCCCAAAAGTCCAAAGTCACCGCACATTTTTATTTTTTATTATTTCTTAAAAATACAAGGAGAGGAGATGTTACCCAGTCTGTGGAGTGGATGTTCCATCTGCAGCACGCGCACCAGCTCGCTCACACGCTCCTGCCCAGGCTGGGAGGAGCAGGAGAGAGAGGAGCTTCTGGAAGAGGCAGTGGGGGGGTGAGGACGTAGGGACAGGATGGTCACATTTATGCACGGTGCTGCTTCAGCAGAGTCCTCCTCTCCAAACATTGTCCCTCCTCAGCAGCGCTTCGCACTGAAAAACACCCCCTTTCCCCTCCTTTCAGACCTCCCGCTCACTTAAGGATGGGTGGGGGGTTCTAGCTCACATGAAGCTGCTGAGTTGATCGTTCAACAACAGAAACAATCATTTATTCAACAGAATAAACAAGAACATTTATTTCATGTTCATGGGTGAAAAACGGCTCGAGTGTTTGTTGGAGCACAGTGTCTGAGATGCAGACTGCATGTCCCGCGAGGATTGAAGCATCTTTATCCAACAACACAAACTGGTTGATCCACTATGAGAAGGAGCTGCTTAGAAGACGGTTTGTTGCAGCTCCTCAGACTGAAGAAGTGCTTTGGATAAAAGACGAAACATTTCAACAAGAAGAATCTGAGGACCTGACTCTTCCTTGTTAGATTTATGTACCTGGATTATTGAGCTTTAGGACAAGGAGACAAAACGTGTTTCTGGTATTGTATGAAAAGACACTTGATACACATAGTGTGGTGGAAACATTTAGTTTGCTTTATCAGCCCCTAAATATTAATTCTGAGACAATTCACTTTGTAAACATAAAAACAGAAACAAAAGTCTGAAAACCTTGAACAACTGAAGCAATAATGGAAAGAAGAGTGGGCCCAAATCCCTCCACAATCATCTGATTAGACCATTACTGAGTTCTGGTGCTGAACTAGGTTCTAGCTGCTGGGTCAGGACTGGAACCAGTTTTCGACTGTGGAACCTGATGTGCGTGTTTGAGGTGAGATGAGGTCAGATTTGGACTTTGTAGAACCTGATGGAAGACCAGATCAGGTTTATAGCATTCACACTATTGAGATCCTGTTCCAAGTCTCGAACCTACGTTTTTCAGCATCTAACTCGTCCCACGGTTAAGATATTTCATCAATTTAGGTATTGCAACGTTCAGCTCGTTTTGGAGACTCCTACCATGACTTTTGGGATTTATGTCTTTGAAACTGTTGGAAATGTTGAGTATTTTCAGCATATTCTCTCTGAAATGCATTTAGATTTTGTGAAATCCTTCATCTGCTGCTTTTTGAACGGTCACTACTTCAGTATACGTCCACCTAGAACGTCCATTCAACTTTAAAACAATTCACAAGACATTCAGCTTACACACTTACAACTTTACAGACATGGCACCCTACAGTGGGTCAACCAATTTGATGGTGATGAGATGGTTTCTAGAGTCCACCCTCCCGTGCCAACTCGATGAGGCAGTCCTGACCAATGCGGTTCATAACTGAGTGGGTTGACTCACTATGTGAAGGTGCTATTTATAAGACTGAGTTTGTTGTGGCTCCTTGGACTGATGAAGTGTTTTGGATGAAACATTTCAACAAAAAGAAACCGTCCAGACAAACTGACTTAACTTGTTGGATTTATCTGATTATTGCACATGAACTTTGATACTTTTTGTCTTTACTTGCCTCTCCTTCCCGTGTCGCAGTGAGCTGGACTCTCCTGCAGTCACTGTGTGAGAGGCAGGGGGACACCCTGGACAGATCTCCAGTCCATCACAGGGATGCATGAAGACAAACGGCTATTTACACTCTGTCTCACACAGTGGGACAATTGAGCATCACCAATAACTCTAATTGGAACCGAACACATAATGTTGCTGTTTAATAATCAACTGTTTGTAATACAAATATAAACGCGTTCACCTAGTTGGTCCCCTGAAAATTTACTTTGTTTTTCTCATCACCCTTCAGGTGGAACATTACGTTTATGCTCCTAACGACACTTTGTCCTGTCCTGCAGTGGCCTTGCAGTGCATGGTGGCTGTCTGAGAAGAACGCTAACTGGCGACCATGCCAGGAGGTCGCAGGGGTCCCAGCAGACAGCAGCTAAGTCGCTCCTCTCTGCCGTCCCTGCAGACTCTGGTCGGAGGCAGCGTGAGCAATGGAACGGGGCTCCGGAACAGGTACTGTGTTCCAGGTCTTGGTTTAAAGTGGACAAAGATGTAAAGCCCGGGTCGTATCCACACGGTGTAAGCTATAATGTCAAATAAATCAAACAATAAAGTTTTAATCATGATTTTTACACGTAAAGAACGCCGTCTTTGCCGTTCTGTTCCGTGAATGAACAGGGTGTCACAAAATGTTTACGTCTTTTAAAATATGAGGGTTTTAGTAACTGCAAGTTTCAGACTGACTAAATTATAAAGACTCCATATTGAACATTAAAGGATTTGTCAAAATAAAATAAAATAAAATTGTAAATAAAATGTAGATTTTTATACCCCCTGTCGAAAGACTGATGTTTTACAGTATATTCTCCGTAGACTTTCTCTTTTGCCTCCCATAAGTTCTGATCTACCCAAGATAATCTGACACTTCAAACACAGATGGAGCCACGTGCTCTTTTCATCAACCCAGCTCCAAGGTCAAGGTCTCAAATCAAGGTCAAAGCTAAAGCAAGGTCTTTGCTATAGACTTGTATTGTTTGATAAAAGTTTGTTGATGTATGTGGTATTTTTGTTATAATCTGTTACACAAATGTTTAATAAGCACACGACTAGGGTTGTAAATCACCAGCTTTACCACGATGTGATATTGTATTGATTTGTTTGTATGACAATATGATTTTTCTTGATATCACGAAGTCTGTCAAGATACGATTTTGATTGTATTCGATTCACAAATCTGCGATCGATATATTGCGATATCAAATGCCCATCTCATTTACATATAAATAAATTTACAAAAACGATTCAAATATGATTTAATCATTTTATTATTATAGGCACCAGGCATTTTAATTATTTTTTTCTTAAATAATGAAAAAAAATCAAAATAAATGACCTGTTCAGTATAGTCTCTCATTTCTCATGTTTAAGTGCATTTTTTAAACCAGTTAACTTAAAAGTGCCCTGATTACCTTTCAGTTATTAAGAAATAAAAATAGATATTGAACTTGCATAACATGGCTATCAATGTCCTGTTTCTTCTTCAGGTGAACGGCCAAATTTATTGTTTGAGTATTTTAACTCGCACTGGCACCTGTTGCATACGGCATGAGTTTTGTCTGTGGAGTCGTCCTTCTGTTGGGATCAAAATATTTCCAGTGTTGATTTAAATCCAGCAGGAGAGTGAATTTCGTTATCTGTGTTTTCTGCCTCGTCTGCCATGTTGCTGAGGCGGCCGCAGAGCGAAGCCGCGCACGGAAATGGTGACAGACGTGCCTTGGGAATTTCAAAATAAAAGCATGTTTTAAAGATGACTGAATCGATATTTTACTTTTGCCACAACATAATTGAATCGTTAATTATTTAATTGATATATTGATTTAAATCAATGTATTGTTACACCCCTACACACGACGCACGTCAAGTTGGTATTTCAACTTCTGACAAACGTGCTGCAGCACGTCCTGAATTTTATTAATTTTTTTTGTCCAAATCCTCTTGGTCTGTGCATTTTTCTTGATTTTTCTCTTTGACTGTGTTCAAATATATTCCAACACAAAACGCTTTTCCATTTCTAATAAACGTCATTCTTCACCCTGAAAAAATAAAAGTAAACATTAAGTTAAAATTTTTTTTTTAATAGCGATAATTTGAGCAAGAATTGGCTGTTATAAGGCAACATGGTATTTATTGTTTTTTGTTTTTGTTTGTTTTTTATTACTTCAAACGTGCAAAAAAAATTTGACTTTCACCCGCTTCAGTCTATAATCCTGATCTTTAACTAAACCTCAGATCTTATACTGACTCTAAAGGCATTTGTATTGAATTTAGCTAACGGAAAACTGCTGTGCACAGTAAATATTGTCTTTTTGAACATTAATGTATTAAAGACTAAATGTTGTGGTTTCTACAGATTGTTGACATCAGTCATGTTCAGTAAACTGCTTCAGTGGTTCAAACCAACATCTGGTCCAAATACTTACATTTTACATGTTCATTACTAACAAAACTGAGGTCATTTATTGTATTTTATTTTTTGTCATGTGCCATTTTCCTGCAGGAGCAGTAACTCTGTGGGTCTGTCCGCCCCGCCGCTCTCTGCTCTCATCACCCCGGAGCCGGTCCGTCACTCCAGGATCCCCGAGCTGCCGTCAGACAGCTGCGTTCTGTTCGAGTTCCTGCTCTTTCTTTATCTGTTGGTCGCCTTGTTCGTCCAGTACATCAACATCTACAGGACGGTGTGGTGGTACCCGTACAGCCACCCTGCTGCCTCTACCTCGCTGGTATGAACACGCCTGCTCAGTTTTCATTCTTTAAACGGTGAATAAGAAATGACTCGTGTCTCGTTTCCTCACAGGCGCTCGGTGATCATTTAGTTAAAACGGGACATATTAAACGTTGAGTTCTTGCAGTGATTTGTCGACTTTGAAACTGAGAAAATGACGTTTGAACCTCTCATTAATCCGTTTGAGTTGAGAGGAAAAGAGCATCAAACTTTAAGGTGGATGTGAATCGGACCGTTCAGAGACCAAAAAGTGGACAGTTAACTTATCATCTTATTTAAGAAATTTGGCATAATACACATAATATAAGTTTATTTTCTTACGTAACTGACCATATTCTTTTGAACTTGGCACAGCCCAAGTGAAACAGGAAGTGGCATCAGCTGGGAACTCTAAAATGGGGGAACTTCCTGGTTTTGTATTTATTGAAACATTATATGAACTCCAACTCTTCTTCTTCTCTGATTAGGACTCAAAATGATCTAAAGAAGCGTCGGGTTCTTTTTCGCTGCTGTAGAAAAACTTTACATGCACGCGTTCCCCACTTCCTGTTACTGCGCATGCGAATATCTTAACAGCTGTTCATTTCAGTGGCATTAATTTTGTTTGCAATACGTTATCTTACCATACTACATTCATATTTATTACAAAACAGCCCAGTCCAGAAAAACACTCGTCTCAAAAACTACAAACATTCACTATTCAAATCCTTCAGAGAGGGAGAGGGGGGGCGCACATCAGTGTACCACTTGTTTCCTTGAAATTTAAAGGTGGAATATGAACAGTTGTTTGAATTTTCAGGGGGTTTTAGCTCTTTTGATGCCTTTGATGGTGTTTTATTAAAAAAGTGGTTAAAACAAATTATTAAAATCCTCTTTTTTTTTTTTAAATAGAAAAACATCCAGTAAATTGTTCTGACTGATAAATAAGACACTATTTATTTATTTTTTATTTTATTTATTTACCCTTTATTTATCCAGGTAGTCTCATTGAGCCACAAGAACTCATTTTCAAGAGAGACCTGTTTAGGGAGCAGATGGTGGGGGTTAAGTGCCTTGCTCAGGGGCCCAGAGTGGGACGAATGAGGGTGGAGGCAGGTGTGGGTGTTTCACCTTTTCCACCCACATTTTTTTTTTTTTTTTTATGTTGACTGTACCGGGAGGTGAACCTGTGACTTTCCGATCACAGGCCCATCTTCTAACCTCTTCGCCATCACTCCCCCAAGTGATGATTTTCTTAACTAGAAAAGTTAAATTCATATTGTGTTTGTCTAATCATTTTGACATACGAAATCTAAAACATAGCTATATATATATATATATATATATATAGATATATAGATATATATATATATATA